TTTAGTCAGACAATTGACAATCACTCGAGTCAGTATTTTGCTGCGAATTGAGAGCAGGGAAATCTTCCCATGGTCATCACAACACGAACGATAAAACAGTGCCACCATCTTGATCTTAAGGTCTGGTCCACCGTATTTGAACAACTCTGCTGAAGACCATCCAGATTCGGTGCCTTTTTAGAACCACCTTTGAAAAGGCCTTTTTCACCTCAGACAAACTGGGAGAGACATCAAGGTTGTTTGCCACGTTCAATCATCCACAATCAGCCACAATCAGGCAATTCAGTAAGCACTGTTTTGTCAAAGGAAGACTTCTGGTTTGACAGTCACATGAGCGCACAGGAACACTGCCTGATTCGCGCAGGCCAAACATTTTTTTCAAATTTTTGTATAAAGATTTTATGTCTTTGCCATTGGCCGTTGCCTGTAGTTCATCTGCCTTGGCAGACCACCAATATTCTTTTATTTGGCGAAGTTTCTTCTGTGCAGGAGTGCGCGCCTGTGCATGTTGAGCCTTCTTTACGTTACTCATTTTGTCGTTAATCCAGGCAAGATGAGTTTTGTGCATGTCATTCAACAGCTTTCGAGCCTCTGCATCATGATCATCAAACCGGTCTTTATGGACACCACGTCGCCGGCCGAGCACATCTATCGCAACTTTTTCCAGGGTCTGCCTAAACTAAAGCCATTCGATACCTGCGTCTTTTGCTAGGTCATTCTTCATTTTTTTACAAAATTTTCTGATTGCCCAGTCATTCAGCTTAGCCACGTCCGATCTAGTTGCTTTAACAGCTTTTTGGTGTCACTTGATTGGTTTATCTGTTAAAAACACTAATATTTTAATTAGTCAGTGATCCAACTCATTGTAGTCTCCATAAATGCTTTGGTTAGACGAGCGGGACAAAGGTCACGTTGTTTTGTTAGGATGTAATCGATAAGATGCTAGTGACCTGAACATGGATGCCTACAGCTGGTCTTCTTTTTGTTGGCCCGTATTAGTCATCACTAGACTATGCTCTGTACAGAGCTCGACCAGCATAGTTCCGTTTGAGTTCTCATTTCCAACTCCATCGCAACGGAGCACCCTGGGCCACAGCATGGGTTCGGTGCCGACGCGGGTATTGAAGTCTCCCAAAACAAACCGTTGTTACTTATATGTTGTCGAACCAACAGCTTCACTGGGCTGCTCAAGGAACAATTTTTTTCCTCCTTGTTGCCCCAAGTTTTAAAACTTTTTTATTATCTATTAACTTATCAATTTTTATGCTATTTATGTTAAATTTTTCTATTAAATATATTGTTTTTAATACTCCATTTTATCTTTGCATCATTTTTGGCATCAAGGAATTTTTTTATGATAAAATATTTATTTTCATTATGGCGTTTAGATGTTGTAAATTTATTTCCGAACAGCTGACATTTATTTAAATTTTTAGTTGTTGCATTAAGTAAATATTTCTTGAACAATTTTTTCTGTTTATTCGACACTTTAAAATATAATTTGTTATTCAAGATTTCTTGTTTCTAGGTTTATGAGTGTGGAAAGGAGCACACAGTTATTATTATTATTAATTTATTTCGCGTTCTATGAATAGCTTCAGGGACGCTTGGATAAACAATGATTTTTGACGTTTCCGAAGGCCTGGATAAACAAAAAGTTTTTTAACCGTTTCCTAAAAAGTTTGATGGCTGGTTGTTGACGAATAATGGCGAGCAAATCATTCCATATGGAAGGAGAGCTGTACGTAAAACATTTGTTGACAACTGATGAATTGCTGACAGGTTGATGCAAGTTCAAGTGTGTAATTAATTATGTTGTAGAGAGCCAAGCAAGTATTGTCGAGATTAAGATCATTCATTATAGGGGTCCAGCCAGCGACTGTGAGATGAATTTCAATTTGAATTAACGCTTTTTTAGTTAGATTTTGCTTTTTAAGAAAGTGATGAGAACGATATAGCAGATTTGGATCATTAGAGATTGAGAATATAGGAGAGTGATCAGAGAAGTCTGATATGATTCAATCAATCAGTTAGTTTATAAAGCGCAATTTTCGTGATGTTCAACAGCGCTCCTCAATGAATTTTGCAAACAGTTGGTTCTTGAGGTCCGCTCTGAACTTAGTAAGTGATGGAGAAGTAGTTAGAGAAGGAGGTAGAGAGTTCCAAAGAAATGGGCAAAAAAAAGCAAATGCAGATTTATCAAAAGAGTGTTTAACAGAAGTTAAGAAGAAGTGAGAACAAGAAGACGGTCGTAAATTAATTAATATATCTGATAAGTACTTATGAAATAACTTAGATTGAGACTTATACATACATAAATGTGCAAATTTTAAAAAGTTATTCTATATTTTATAGGTAGCCAGCGCAAAAGAAGAACAAGATATGAAGATATATGAGAAAAGAATGGGGCACGAGCGACTAGACGAGCAGCAAAGTTAAAAGCTTTACTCAAAGGATACTGTGTAGAATCAGGAAGACTATAGTAGAGCGAATTAAAATAATCAACCAATCTTAGATAAAACTAAAGAAGTAACAAGCAGTAGAACACTAGGGTCGTCAAGAAAATGCAAAAGTTTTTTATTCTACGCAGATGAAAGTAAAAACACTTTTAGCAACACTATTAATCTGAGAAGAATCAAAGATAAAGCCTAGACTACGAAACTTGTGAGAAACATCAAGAGTTTTAAAATCAGGTAAGATAATTGGAGGAATAGTAATAGAGTGTTTAGATTTATTAAAACAAATTAATTCAAACTTAGAAGGATTAAGTTTAAGACACATAGAGTCAGACCAAGCGATAATTGAAGAAAGACATAGAGATAAATTATGAAGATTAGATGGAGGAAAAGAAGTATAAATGTAAGAATCATCAGCATATAGTTGACTAGAGAAAGAAAAGTTATTAATAATACGAGGTAGTTCAGAAGTATAGAGTATAAATAGAAGAGGGCCAAGGATAGAACCCTGAGGTGCCCAAAAGTAAGATCACAGAAGTTAGAAGTAGAATTATTAAGAACAACAGAAGAAAAACAATTAGAGATATAAGAAGAAAACCAAGATAAACAAGAATCAATAATATTAAAAGAATGATCTAGCTGCCTGAAAAAGCCTATAACTAAGCCATCTAACTAGAATAGTACATACTAGAATAGTATGATCAACAGTATCAAAAGCAGAGTAAAAGTCAAGAGCAAGAAAATGAGTAAGATTACTATTGTCAATAGAGAGAAGGATATCATTATGTATTTTAAGTAAAGAAGTTTCAGTACTGTGAGCAGATCTGAAACCAGATTGAGATACAGGTAGCATGGAGTTAAGGTTTAAATAAAAGGGTAATTGATTATAAACTACTTTTTTTATTATATTAGAGAGGAAAGTAATGTTAGTAACAGGTCTATATTTAGATAAAGTGGAAGAATCTAAAGATGAATTTTTAAGAATAGAAATAACAATAGAATTCTTATAACAAGTAGGAAATTTAGAGGTGGAAAGAGATAAATTAACTAATTTGAGTATGATATGATAAAATATTTAATAAAATTCTTTAAGTAAATTAGAAGAATGTAGATCTAAAGAACAAGTTGTAGATGACATAGAATTAATAGTTTTAGTAAGTTCTAGAAGATTTATTGGAGTAAATACAGAAAATACAGTAGTAAGTTTAGTAAAATTATGAGATGAATGAAAATTAGATGTTCTTAAAGAAGTAATTTTGTTTACAAAAAAGTCTTGAAACTGTTGAGCAGAAAAAGATGAGTGAGAGGATTTCTTACGAATAAGTTTAGACAGAACAGACTTCCTATTTTTAGATGTTGAAGCAGATATTATAGAATTTCTAAGAAAAGTAGAATGTTTAGAGAATAGAAGATATTTATAATTAATTAATCTAGATTCATAGATAGAGTACAGAGAGTTAGATGGCTTAGTTATAGGCTTTTTCCAGTCTTCTAACACTTTTTTCTACTATTGAAAGATTTAAATAAATTTGTAAATATATTATCAATTAGTGACCCTGTAAAAGGAGTTACACGGGTTGAAGATTTTATTAGCGGGATATAACCATGAGAGGACAATAAATTTTTAACCCTAAAAAAGCATTTTTTATAGCACTTATTACCTACCATTGGGGTTTGTTGGACCCCATTCATTTTTGCATTGAAAATTTTATCCAGAAATGTTTATATTTGTTTATTTTAACAAATGCAAATATACAAAATAGATTCAACTGTTATTTAGTGGCAAAGTGGCAAAAAAAATTCACCAGTGACATTTTTTTCTGATTCTTGCAAGCTTGATTTTTTTCTCATTTCACTTTAGTAGTAGTAGTAGTAGTAGTAGTAGTAGTAGTAGTAGTAGTAGTAGTAGTAGTAGTAGTAGTAGTAGTAGTAGTATTAGTAGTTGTTGTTGTGGTGGTAGTAGTAGTAGTAGCAGTATTAGTAGTAGTAGCAGTAATGCTGTTCCTGGGGTTATCCAGAGAGCATGCTTTAATTATTTTATAAATATATATTTGTTATTTTCCAGCAACAATTGGAGTTTCCGTCCTTTTTAACCCAAACTTTAATGCCATCTTCTCTAGTTTAGAGGGTTATTACTACCTTCATTACTAATGTAGTGGTCGACGTTATCACTTGCACTGTTTACATTTTCAATACGCTGTAAACGACCTTTACCGTTATTGTTATGTTTTTTACATGTGTTACACGTACGTGTACTATCGCTTCTACTATTTTAATGTTCAAATAATTTAACAAACATTTGTTTATTTTTCTCGATTTATCATTTATTTTTGTTATTTTCGCTATTATTTTAATCTTATAGATATATGGTTTATATTATAAACTGCAAAAGTAGGCAACAGGTCCAGAGCTCTTGCTACTTTAGTTTTCTTTCATTTTATTTTACCTCAAAGCATTTTAAAATATTCTACTGATTTTTCAAAAATTTTTCGCTTTATGAAAATTCAAGTTTATGGGACTCAATCTGGTTAATTTTGTTTGAAGGGTTTCTCCTCTGGTTTATTTGCATTCTACAGAGATAAAAATGGTCAACCATTAACACCAAGAAATCCTGCTACAAACAAACCTCCTTATAACAAAAAGTGAAGATTGATACATTATTTTTTGTATAAAAGAATAAATTTTCTTGATCAAAATAATTTATTATAAATAATTTGAATTATTTTATGAATAATTATCAATCAGTCATTTATTTGCTATGAAAATATGTTAGATTGAACAGATATCAGTGGAGTGATAATGTTGTCAGAAGCGTTGATAGGAGTGATTGGTTGGCTGCCGGTGGTTACATCAACAGAACTTTTAATTATATTGTCACCCCGTCAGTTCTGGTCAGTTTATTTAGTTTTATGTTTTTTCATATTTAAATTTCAAATTGAACTTGATTAAGCGTGAAGTACGCCAGCATTTCAACTGCAGCTCATTGGAAGGAGCAGAACTTGAAAACCAAGGACCTGCTGGAACATCATTCACACACTGGGAAAAAAGAGTGTTTGAGGTTCTGATTGTTTTTTGTAAATTTATAGGATAAAAATATTATTTATGATAATTAATAATTGATGTTAATTAATTAATGATGATTAATAATTAGAATGAATTAATGACTGGGACTTACACGCAAAATTTGGTCATTTCGAGAATTACATTGGCACTTTTGGATGACACAGGGTATGTATTTTGTATTCAATTCTCAATAGCGTTTTAATAGAATAATTTAATTTTTAATAGCGTTTTAATGGTATAGTGTGATGTTGTTTATCAATTTCGATATTTGCTACATATTGTTTTTATTTTATAATTATCGTTTTGGTATAATCATCTAAACTTCTCAACCGTTTTTTCAATCAATCAATCAATCTTCGTTTAGCGTCCAGAGACCCAGTTTCCCGAGGTAGGACGTTGTTTTCTTTACCATCAACTATTTGCGCCAAATTAGACAATCAGTTGTATCCATTTCATTTAAATTTAGAGCTTTCAGGTTTTGCTCGATTGTTTGCAGCCAGAACTTTTTTTGACGGTCTTTGGAACGTGTGCCAGGAACTTCAACATCTGCAAGAGAAGTAGTTATGGCACTGTTTCCACTTCGTTTGACATGACCAAACCCCCGCAGACGGTGTTGCCGGCATTCGTCCTTTATATTATCTAAACCAGCACGACGCAGGATTTCGGTAGATTTGATGTGGTCCTTCAGACTAATTCGTTGCATCCATCGGAGCATTTTCATGTCGGTTCATTGAAGTTGTTGTTCCAGTTTGGTTGTCATTGGCCATGTTTCTGCACCATATAGCAAGACCGGACGTATCACAGATTTATAAAGTCTTGATCGTAGTGGTAGTGGGATGTCACGCTGCATCAATATAGAGGCAAGGAGATGCCATTTATTCCAGGCTGCACGGATGCGTGCTCGAACGGCAGCTTCAGTTGTTCCAGTACAATCCAGAACATCCCCTTGATATTGAAATGAAGTGACTTTTTCTACCTTAACAGTGCTTTTTCGAATTTGTTGTTGTGGATTGATGCAAGCAGGACAAACAAAATTGGACACTTTAGATAAAGTACCAATTATTTTTGAACAACGTTTGTGACACCACTGGTTACACTGCTGACATTTGATTGAATTGTTACCTACACCAGCTTTACAAACTGAACAGGGCCATCGTCCAGTAGCTGTGAGTTGGATGGGTTCACCAGTGTTCATTGCTTTGGTTTTGCTGATGTTGACTTTGAATACATGATCGGCGAGTCTGGTGTTCCAATCTTCAAACATCTGTGCTGCATTCTGCTCAGACGTGGCGGTTAGAACGATATCATCAGCATATATTAGATTCCAAATGTCACAAGTGCTTATCGGTTTTGTGATTTCTTCCATCACAGTTATAAATAACAGTGGACTGAGAATCGAGCCTTGGTGAACTCCAACGCCGATGTCAAATGCATCTGTGTTTCAAACCGTTGTGTTGACGAGAGTTTTAATATTCGTATACATTTCCATCAAAAGTCGAACAAGATATTCTGGAATGAGTTGTCGACGTAGACTCCACCTGATTGCTTTACGGGGAACTCGATCAAATGCTTTTTCAAGGTCTACAAAAATGTGTGATAGTTGTTGATGCTTTGCGAGGTACTTCTCTTGCAGTTGCCGAAGGATGTGAATTGCATCAATTGTTGATTTTTCCGCTATAAAACCAAATTGATAATTTCCGATTGTGATGCACGACGTTAATCTTCTCTCAATGATTTTCTCGACAATTTTCAGGGAGTGTTCTAACAGACGTATACCCCGATATGATGAACAGTTCAATGGATGACCTTTGCCTTTGTATAGCGGAACTGTCATGCTATAGTTCCATTCAGTCGGCATTGAGCAATTTCTCTACACTTCACGGCAAAGTTGTAGTAACGTTTGGATACCTGCAGTACCAGATGCTTTGATAATGTCATTTGTGAGTCCAGAGGGCCCTGCTGCCTTTCCATCCTTCATAGCTTTCAGAGCTTCTGTAAGCTCCTCTACAGTGATGTCTGGAATCGGACCTTCGATTGATGGAGCGTCATAGTTGACATTGATGGGATTTGTTTAATTTAACAGACGGTTGAAGTATTCTCTCCACTGTAGCTTGATCTCATCTTGTTCAAGAACCATGTCATTTTGGTCGTTTTTGATACATGGGGCACCAACTATGTCTTTTTTCGTACGCTTTGCTTGTTTTGCTATACGATACAGAGATTTCATTTGTTCACCTTTGCTTTTAGTAAGCCACTCTCTGCACTGATCTGTCCGAGCCAGTGCGACTTGACGTCTTGCATAGTTGTTCTTCTCACGGAAAATTGTATGGTCATCAACAGACTTTGATTTTTGCCATTGCTTGTATGCAGCTTTCTTTTCAGCTATTGCATTTTGTACACTGTCATTCCACCACCAAGTGTCCCGTTCATGCTGACGTTTTGTACCAGTTTTCCCACAAACTGTAGTTGCAGCGTTTATCAAAACGGTTTTGTATGTACTCCAATCTGTACTGGCTTGCGATTGATGGTCTAACTGTGTTGCGACAATCTGTTGAAATTTACTCGCGGTTTTTTCTTCTCAACCGTTTTTTCAATTCTATAATTAGACTGACAGACGCATAAAGTTGAATATAAATTTTTTTCACATCAGTTAATTATTTTTGTTAGGTTTGCGCAATTTTAACTTGCAGTGTGCAAGCAATCATGTCATATTTCTTAAATTCATTTTATAGAAGACTCATTAAGTTTGAAAGGCAAATTTTAAGTATCAAATATGAATTTTCCTGTTTTTCACTATAAAAAATAAGTTAAATAAGTTAAAAAATAGTTAAATCAGCTAGGCTCATTGAATGATTATATTCTTTTATGATTTGAAAGAAAATTTTTTACCATTGCTGAATCCTGTTAAACGTAGCTGTTGGAATTGGATGAAATTAGGATTAGATTAATTATTAAAAAATTGAATGTGAATAAATGAAAATTGAGTCATGGGGTTTATATTTATAAAAGTGAATTGCAACTGTTTATTTTTAAATTTATCCGTGTTGTTGATGCAGTAATATTTTAAACTAATAAAAAATTGTTTTATAAAATTATGTTATATTTTGTTCAACAACAACACATTTTCTACTTCTCCCAGTTGAGTTCATGAAACTTTAGTATTGTTGTAACCCTTGACTTTCGTAACTACTAACACTGGTGTTATAATTTCAATGATCTCTATGTTTTCAACACCAGTTTTGTAGCTTCCAACGATCGTCAAGTGTTCGTTATTTCGTAGGTTCAAGATTTCTGATAGATGAACACAACTGCTTCAAACGCAAACTTTGTTAAACGTTTATTTGAATACCAACGGTGATAGAAACAATAAACAGTCCTGGTTATGACATTAAACTGACCCTCACTGCCTTGTGAGTGATGTTGGATCATCAAAGGCTAAGCCCACCGCTTATAACTGTGGTTGCGTAAGCAGGGGCGTCCTGCGTAAAAATTAGCCAAAAAAAATATTTATGATGACAGAAATGACAATGGCTCTCAGTATCCGGCAGAAGAGGGTGCGAAGAATCTCGAAGACCTAGTCCATGGGGTTGCGGTGCAAGGCCCTGTGGATGGTCTGGCTACTGGCACCCCACTCTATAGTGTCGCGGTGCAAGACCAAGGGGTTGGAGGTTTGGTACCTGGAATGTAGGCACGTTGACAGGAAGGAGTTTGGAAGTGGTGGAGGAGTTGCAGAGGAGAATGGTTGACATGGCTGCGTTACAGGAGATCAGATGTAAGGGAGAGGGTACAAGGTTTGTGGGGGCTAAAGGTGGAAAGTATAAGTTGTGGTAGAAGGGGGATGATGGTACGGGAGGAGTTGGTGTGATGATAAGAGAAAAGTTGGTGGAGAAGGTGTTGGAAAAGCAATAGTGTAATTGTGGTGGTGATGGTGTTTGGAAAGGTAATAGTGAGGGTAATATCAGGATATGCTCCGCAACAAAGTAGGAAGGAAGAGGGGAAGGATAGGTTTTATGATGATGTTTCTGACGAGATTGAGCAAGCGGGGCTGGATGAGTTTGTGGTGTTGTTGAGTGATTTGAATGGTCATGTGGGGGCGGATGCAGATGGATATGAAGGTGTACATGAGGGTTGGGGATATGGTATACGGAATGGGGAAGGGCGTAGAGTGTTGGAGTTGGGTTAGGGTTAGAAGGCTGCAAAACGGGCAGTGGCAACTCCAATGACGAAAGCATCAGATAGGTTAATGAGGGAAATGGAATTTGATGTGAGTTCGAGGAAAATGTTCAAAGTAGCAAAGCAGTCTATGAGGGATAGGAAAGATGTTATAGGGAATGGATGTGTTTGGAATGGATCTGGCAAGTTGTGCATAGATGAGGAGGAAAAAGCTCAGGTGTGGAAAGCCCATATGGAAAGGTTGATGAACGAAGAGAATGAGTGGGATGGAAATGTGGAATCCGAGGTCACACACGGACCCATAGAGAAGGTGACGAGGGAGGAAGTAGAGAAAGCAGTTAGGGAAATGAAACTATGTAAGGCGACAGGGGTTTCGGAAGTGGCGGCGGAACATAAAGGCGAGTGGGGTGATAGGGTGAAGTTATGATGAGAATTGCTAACAGTATGTTTGATGATGAAGGTATACCTGAGGATTGGCGACACAGTGTGTTGGTGCCGTTGTATAAGGGCAAAGGAGATGTGAGAGATTGTGGGTCATATAGGGGTGTGAAATTGCTAGAACATGGAATGAAGGCAGTGGAGAGGGTGCTTGAGAGGAGGTTGAGAAATATGGTGACAGTTAATGAAATGCAGTGTGGGTTTATGCCTGGTAGGGGAACGCTGGATGCGTTGTTCATAGTGAGAATGTTGCAGGAGAATTATAGAAAGAAGAAACGAAGATTGTACATGTGTTTTGTGGATCTATAAAAGACTTTTGATCGAGTACCGAGGAAGGTCTATGAATGGGCGTTGAGGAAGAAAGGAGTGAATGAGAAACTTGTTAAAGCTGTGATGCAGCTGTATGAAGGGGCGAAGACAAAGGTGAGGGTCAAAAGGGGGATGTCGGACGCTTTTTGCGTTAAGGTAGGAGTGCATCAAGGATCAGTGTTATCACCGTTTTTGTTTGCAATTGTGATGGATGTTGTGTGTGGAAATATAATGGAGGGGTTGTTATTTGAGATTTTGTATGCAGATGATTTAGTCTTGATGGCTGATAGCATGGAAGAATTGCAGTTAAAATTTGATAGAGGAAAAGCGTA